GCTGAAGGACGATATCCGAGACGGACGAAAATGGAGAACTTCACGGAGGGATGGAATCGACTGTATCATCCACTGAATGGAACATGCGATGTGATAGGCATCTGAGAGTTTGACTTAATCAATTCTTACGACGTGGAACTGTTAACATTGATTGATTTTGTTTCTGGAAAGAAGCTGTGGAGTTCAACGAAAGTATTTTTATGAGCTCCCAAGATGACTGTCACATTATTGACAGTTTGTATGGTGAAGAAAGCAAGTACTTTTACGGTTTGAAATTATATTGTGTACGCCGTAAATATAAGATTACTAGCTATAGCCATATACACCATCATATTCGCTCACAAAAAACGATTCCAATTACACTTACAAGTAATTATATTTATATTCAGAAGCAGTATTGCTAAATATTTATTTATAAACAAGACCGTGCGTAGCTTGAATTATTCTTTGACAAAATTAGTAGGCCTATAGTACTATTTTGTTTTGTGATTCATCTCCTTTCACACAATATCACAAGAGGTGAACGATGTCATTCCCTGATCAATCTAGGGACGGGAAGAAGATTTTACTGATTACTTTGTAAAATTATTTTGTTTTTACCTTTTAGATTCTAATTGGTTTATTCAGGTTTTTAATAAATATATCATCATTTGAAAGAATCTCCATACAATTTCTCATGTGAGAGTTCATTAAAAAAATATGATGTCATTTCAGCATATTATTAATACAATTATTCATTTCGTTGATGGAGTAATTCAGTGTGCTCTAATAACCAATGAGCCAAAAATTAAATGGCAATTTACTTACAATCATTTTTGGGAGGAGGAGGGATTTTTAAAAAAATAAGGGAAAAAGAAATGGGGGGTTCTTGAATTTCGAAAATGCATAATAAGAAAGTGTGGATAAAGCTGTTTGGAGGGATTGAGGGTATAAACTCTTCATCGTTCAGTTATTTTTTAAAGATTTGTTTTGGAGGAGCGCTTGAACTCCCTCCTGTAAGAAAAATCTCACTCGATAATCCATTTTCCAAAGTAAACAAAGTGGAAAGCACAATGCGCGTTTACCCGTCTGACAGTACGTAAACGCGCCGCCATTGTTCGGCCGCGCATTTGTGCACAAACACTGCGCGATGTCCTATCCAGTCTGTGTATATGGAGATCAATGTGAAATACGGACTCATTGGTGGTATCGCGCATGCTTATGCATAGATAATTAGGAGAGGGACCGGTCACATGAAAGGGGTTAACCAATAAAGAGTCCGATTTTCATACGAGTCTGATTTTCATATGACACCGGCGATGCGTACGCGTACGCGGGCTGAGCACAAAGGTAAGTGCATAGTTCACAAGTTCACATAGTTCAAAATAAATACAAATGCATCTGATCGCCGTTTACAATGCTAGCGCTCATGCGATATGCCGTATGTGCAGCTATCCAAAAAGCTACTGACTTATTATTGTTGGAAAGCGCGGTGGCCGAAAAGTTGTCATCTGCTTTTTTCCTCTCAGAAAATTAGACTGAAAGTGGATCGGGCGTTTTGACCACAGACATATCCAAAGATTTTGAACGGGAGGGGGGGGGGGGGGAGTCGATCTCACCGGCCTTTACAAACTCTAATGCGAGAGCGGAGCGCGAGCGCGAAGCCCTTAATTACGGTTTGGGGTCCGGGCCCACTTACGGATATATTTCTTTGTCAAAAGAGGGCGCTGTGCGTATCACCGTTAGCAAATCAGTTATGTCAAACTTCAGATAGCGTCAGACAATTTGTTTTTCTTAAAGGGAATATACATCATTTGCTTTTGCTGTAATTTTCAGAAATGGATGGAATTGGGGGGTTGGAAATATATAGCAAATATAGTTACACTGACTTTTTTGAGGTTTTGGGTTCAAAAATGCTATAAAAACAAAGAAAAACAATCATTTTCCTGTAGTCTGGTTCCCTGACTCCATTTAAGAAGAAACAGAGCAGTTTACATACATTGGGGAATTGTAAGGTCAGGGAACCAGTCTAGCTGGCTTGTACCCGTTCATAGGTGTGTAATCGATTGCAAACAAGTGCGATGGTCAATTGGGGCCAGTATTTGAAAAAAAGCCAGTTGTTTCCAACGCTGATCGGCCGATCAGCGTTGGAAATTGATACAAAAATACCACTTTTCTTAAAAATGACAGTATACCAGGTGCCATGATTTTACAGGATGCTTTACACTGTCATTCAATAACAGTCCAGCCAGGTATTTCAAAATGATTTTGGTAGTTTTATTTTTTGATGTTTGCAAATGTTGTATTTTCTCTTTAAGGTCGGCCCAAAGTTGTAAGGTTTCTAAATCTAAATATTTAAATATAATCGTAGGACGTCATGATGTTGTACCAGCTGCAAGCCCTAGAAGAAGAAGAGTTAATGCTCCGTCAAAGCCAAGAGACAGTTAGCCCTGCAAAAAGACACAAGCGGAGGAAGCTGTGCATAACGAAAGCAATGGACATTGCGATACCTTCTCAGCACAGGCATCAAGCGAGAGTGAAGTGCAGATTGCGACAACCCCACGGAGTACACCTGAACGTGGATACATCTCCAGCATGTCAAACAACTGAGTTGGAGTTCTACGGAACAAAGGAACCAGTTACGAAGCCAGAGGCTGGGAACATTGAAACAAGACACAAGAACCGGACAAGACAGTGGATACAGTCGAGCCAGCGGAAGCTGACAGCACGCACAAGAACAGTAAAACAACCATTAGAATCACACTCTTGGAAAAATATTGTCCGGTTAACTTATTCTTTATGATGGCCCTTGCGGTTTTGCCGAAGTCAAATTAGTGTGATCGTCCGACTGATAAGGTTTACGCACAAAACCATGGGCCAATGAGGCTTTGCATAGAAAGCTGGCCGAACCATTTTTGGGGAAAGTGTGCTGGTAATGAGGCTTAAGCCTGCATGCTGCCAACACCACCAATGGCATCCCTACATTTGCTCGTGCAAATAGGACCCATTTTTGGACCCTAATTTTATCAAATCTGCTCTTAGATAATGGCCCAAAAGCTAGGGAGATGATCCTCTGCTATATTCGCACGATTCCACCGAGTTTTAAACCAGACGGTCGCGTTTTCTTCAAAAAATTGTGGGGTCACTTTCTTTGCAAATGACTCACGAATAAATTTTTGAAACCCTAATCACTCGCGAATTTATTGCGCCCGCCGTCGGTCTTATTGTACCATTCGGATAAATCGTCTGAATAGCCCCCCCCCCCCCACCCACCCCCACCCCCCACCACCACACCGAAAAATAATAGTGATAAAATACTGTTGAAAAATGTGCTCGTTCATTCAGAAATTCATGAAGCATAATATCCAAACTGATTGGATGTTTCCAAAGTGTCTTTCCCAATACGGGCGATTCACAATAGTGCGCCTCCAAGAGTTTGCAACGCGTTGGCCAATCACAATGCGCAAAATCGGTCGACCCAATGCGCGTTTGGAAAAGGTCGACTAATTTCACGCATTGTGATTGGCCAACGCGTTGCAAACTCTTGGAGGCGCACTATTGTGAATCGCCCGTATTGCAAAAGTTCTTTTTAAAAGCCCACTACAGGCAGCATTAGAATCACACTCTTGGGAAAAAAATGGTCCGGTTAATTTATTCTTTATGATGGCCCTTGCGGTTTTGCCGAAGTCAATTGAGTGTGATCGTCCGACTGATAAGGTTTACGCACAAAACCATGGGCCAATGAGGCTTTGCATAGAAAACTGGCCGAACCATTTTTGGGGAAAAGTGTGCTTGTAATGACAGTTCTGGAGCTGGTACAGCAAGGTCAAAAGCAACAACAACGTCATCTGCTTGAAGTGATACGACTGCCGAAAGAAGAACTTTTTACATTTGATGGAGATCCCCTGCAGTATTGGGCATTCGTACGATCCTTTGAGAACAGTGTGGACATTTGCAATTTGGAGGACAATGCTAAGTTGATTCGGTTGTTACAGTATTGTACTGGTAAGGCAAAGAAAGTCATAAAATGTTGTTCTGTAATGCAGCCACATGAAGGGTATATAAGAAGGCTAAGGCTTTGCTTACAGAAAGGGTTGGTAACGATTAGACAATTGCTGATGTCTGGGTGAACAAGGTAACTGAGGGTAGTAGCATTGGCCCACGTAAAGCACTAAGAGAGTATGCAGATGATCTGAAAACCTGTAGGGAGCCCCTTAATGCCATGGGTTATGTTCAGGAAATAAATACTTTAGAAAGTGTTGGTAAAAAAATGCCAAGTTACCTCCGTAACCGAAGGATGAGGCAGGTTAGTTCCAGTGAAGGTCAAGGCGAAGGGTAGTGGTGTTTGCATCGACACATATATGCGCTCTTGGACGGTGGGTCAACAGGCACCTTCTGCCAGGAAGAGTTGCCGAGGCGACTGAAACTCCGTGGTGAACGGCAGCAATTGTCTCTGACAACATTGGCAGGGGCAAATGTGCAAACAGCGACAACGTTCTGTCATCAGTTGGACAGTTAACGGTATCGACTGTGAACACCCTGTGGAACTCCCTTTGGTGTATACAGGAAGTGAACTCCCTATATCCACGATGCTAACTTGGCCAAGCAAGAGGACATTGAAAGATGGCCTCACATGCAAAGTATCAAGCTGCCACAGGTTGACAAAGGGCAAGTTCAGCTATTGATTGGGCAAAATATACCAGAAGCATTGGCACTAGACGTCAGGAAGGGTGAGAAGAATGCCCCATATGGAACTAGAAAACACAGCTCAGATGGTCTCTGAATGGACCACTTGGAATGGCGAAAAATTAAGCACACAGCTACATCAAACTTTATTGCAGCTGACGACACATTAGAAAGACAACTACAGATGTTCTGGAAGATGAACACGACTATAGAGAAAGAAATTCATCCGGCATAGGAACTCCGTAGTCTTCTAGCTAGAGGAGGTTTTATGTTGAGCAGCAGCCCACAAGTTTTTGCGTCCATCCCTATGGAAGAGAGAGCGAAGGATATCAAGGATGCTTGATCTGAACTACGAGGCGTTGCCGACCGAGAGAGCACTCGGAATGCAGTGGGACGTTGAACTGGACTGTTTTGGCTATAAAATCAGTCCCAGCGACAAGCCTCTGACGAAAAGAGGAATGCTAAGTGTCTGCAGTTCTATCTATGATCCACATGGGTTTGCGAGTCCATTCACTCTGAGAGCTAAGATGATCATACAGGATCTATGCCGCAGAAAGCTAAGCTCTGATGAGTCACTTCCATCAGAGCACCTCAACAGTTGGCAACGGTGGAAACAACTCCCCAATATTGAACAGTTCAGGGTGAACAGGAGTATCAAGCCTTATGGGTTTGGAGAGGTAGTCAAATATCAACTGCACCATTTCTCGGATGCATCAACAGTAGCTTACGGAGCGACAACCTAGCTACCTGCGCATGACAAAATCAGAAGGCGACAATCAGTCTTGCCTTCTTTTGGCCAAGTCAAACCTAGCTCCCCTGAAGAAGGTGACTATACCCAGGCTGGAATTGGTGGGTGCAACACTCTCCGTCAAACCTAATGCTATGGTTCGTAGAGAGTTAGATTTGCCATTAAAGGATTCAGTATTTTGGACAGACAGCACCATAGTACTGCAGTGTGTGGAGAATGAGGAGCAACGGTTTCTTACATTCGTGGCAAATAGAGTTGCAGTCATGCACCCACAGCGGGATCATCACCAAGTCAATGGCATCATGTTGAATCTAGTCTAAATCCTGCCGATGATGTTACAAGAGCTGGGGAGCTGCTTACAAACAAGCGATGGCTCAATGGATCCGACTTCCTTTGCCTGCATGGACGATAGTGAATGCCCCAAATCGCCAAGCCTGAGAGATCTTGCAGATGAAGATCCAGAGATACGGCCAGACAATGAAGTGGTCACTGTATGTGCTGTAAACAAAATGGAACAGGTCGATGTGGTGGTCAGGCTGTTGAAAAGACATTCCTCATGGCATAAAATGAAGAAGAATGTGGCATGGTTACTGCGGGTGAAAACCACTTGCGAGCCAAGGCAAAGAAGAATCCAAAAATGGACATGCAGATATGCTCCTAACCGTAAGTGCAATGACGAGAGCCAAGACAGCCCAAAGTCGTAAGTTTTCTAAATCTACATCTTTTAATATTGTCATGGAATAGGAACTGGTTGTCTCCTATCAGGGAGGGGGTGTGGACTCCACCTCGGGGTTGAGGGTGTGTACCCTTGGGATGGAATAACAACTCTGGACTGCACTCACTGATCTTGTACTTGATTATCTCCTCATTTAATTATCTTGGTTCATCTTCATTGATCATCAATTAACATTGGCACATGGTAGAAACATCAGTATTGCAGAAAATTAAAACCCCCAAGCCAGACTGCTCTCACTCACAGACGCCTACTGCAATAAACAATATAGGGCCGAGTTGGTTGCACGTGTACGATACGCACTATTATTTACGAAAAACAGCTATTCGTACACCCCCAAAAGCACACATTTTCCAGCTTAAATCATCAAGCCATTCAGCTTAAAGTTCCCTCATCGGAAGGAATAAACAATAAACTTACTTCTGGCATCCTGTCGGGATGCCTATCATCTCCCAAAAAGAAGAATTTGGCTTCCAATTTTCAGCAACCTTCCACGTCTTTTTAGCCCATCGACAGCGAAAAGCAGAGAGAGTGAGAACCCTGAAAAGTTGTTACACACTCGTACTAGCTGGGCGGACTTATCACTCCGCACTTATTAAGTGTTTATTTTAATTAACCAAAGTTATAATATGCCCCATAAACTATTCAAACAGAATTATTAATCAATTATGTAAAGCTGAATTTCCCATTTGATAAGCAAAATGTTTTCCAAAGCTTGCAAATGCAAGCACTATATTCCAATGGTTGAGAATGGATACAGTTGTTTACATGGGTTAATTGGCATCTGCCCAGATACAGTGCTTAACATTAAAGGGACTTCATGTAAGTATGGACACAACTCGAAGAAGTCTACACAATCCAATGCATTAAAGGGGAAAATACCCCGTTCTCCCACACTTTCCCTGTTTTACGAACCATGCGGCCTCGAATGGTTTCAGCCTACTTTTCATTCCAGAAATTATTTCACAGGAAATCATCATATTAGATATTCACACATGTAAACAATCATTTTCCTTCTCTTGGGAAAACAGACTTTTATACCAAGGCTAACATTTTATATTAACTTCAACAACACAGTTTCAAACTGAAACTATAGCAAGGCATAAAAATGTAAATAAAACACAATATTTTTTTTCAGATAGATGTCCCAGTTCTAATTTACTTAAGCTAGTTTAGCTTCCTGAGACCCCAGCTGTTTTTCTTCAGCGGAAATGACATCAGCCATTAGTTTTTCATGTCAAAACTTGGCATGATCTGAAATTCACTTAACAGACTTTCTGAAAACCATTAAACTTGGTTTAATTAAGTTTCATTGAGCTTCCTCCAGTTTAACTCTCATACCGATTTCCAGCAGATTTATAATTTTCCATAACTTGATTCACGTTTAATACATTGTAACAACTGTATAATCGTTGCAATTTACAGAGGTAAACCAATGTAAATAAAGCTGGCGTTATAAAATTAGAGTAAACATCCGTTTCTTTCGACTTAATATTAAGGGATGACTACAACCAAAAGATATATGCAAAACCACTGAACCAACCAGAAAAATCGATTTCAAAGTCATTTGACAGGGAGTGAATGTTTGCATTAAACACCCCAAAAATTACATTTTGTTTTGCTGATGTTTCAACCTGAAGTGAAAGACACATCACTAAATACATTTCGCTAATCTGGTTGTCAGTTGGCATTATATACTACTTCAACAGAATATTCTCTTTAAGACCCTTGTCATGTCTTGATGTCAACAATTACAAGGTATCATAAAAGTACATAAACATGTTTATATATAAAACAAAAGTTTAAATATCAAGGAAATCCTCTCCTCCTATATCAACATACTGTATACAGCTACTTCGCTGCTGATCTACACAACTCAACTTTTAACAATGTACATCATTCTCTTTGATGGACAATATTTAAATAATAAACCATAATTACTTGTCTAAAGGTGCAGGGTAATAAAGACCCCTTACTCTTCAGCATTGACCGAAGAACAAGCACCACTTAACCTAAGTAGAACAATTACATGTATAACAAGCTATCAGTGGCACCCACCGCATATAATTAAGGGTCTAAACTTTGCAGCTGAAAATTACCTCTCGGAGGCCCTTGCCATATCTAATGAGGCCTTCGTCTGTGAGATGACACCCATCTCCTGAAATATACTGAGGATGATTCGTTTTTCGCTGATGGTACATCTTTACCGTAGGGTGATGCTTCCCAAGCTCTTTGTTCAAAAGGGCGTTGTATCGTTTGACCCTGTGATTAAATGTGGTAAATGAAACTTGTCCTGGTCGGTCAATACGAGACCTCCTAATCACAGACAGGATTACGAGATGACTTGGATGCACCCCTTGGTCCTCTAACATTGTAAGAAACCGAAGGATGTCCTGTACAACAACAGCAGGAGTACCCCCTATCCCACATAAATCATTTGATCCGAGGTCAATGCACAACAGGTCCACTGAATGACGTTTCATTTCCCTGAAGTAGTGATCCCCACTACTGAAGATTCTATTATAGCTTAGGCCCGGATGCCCTTCAACAAAAACATCATACCGCAAATCAACATTTATCAGTTGACTCACGGTTTGACGGCTTCTACGTGCCGACCTCAAAAACCGCGCGGGAAACGAATGCCCGAATACGTACACATGTCGTTTATCTGACATATTTCTGACATAAGTCAACAATACATTCTCAAAAAAACTACTAATATATACAACTGGTTTAAACTACAACCAGAGAAGTTTGAAAAATCCAAATGAACGCTTGTCACTATCTTCAGAATTCCTCAAGCCTAAGATCAGATCAGATTTAGAGTGGTTTTCACCAGATCCGCTGAGCGGCAGCCTCCTATTTGAACTTCAAATCGGTGGAATTCTACGAAAACAAAGAAACAGTGACTTGTAAATTGTAACATATCTACAAGCTTAATCTACTTATAATACAGGACATTGGTATGTCACATACTTAATCACCATAAGAACTGAGTTTTATCCTAAATTGTGTTCTTAAGCGCAACAACTCAAAAGTTGGTGTATCAATCACTCAACCACTAGTTAGCGTACAAGGTACAACCTATGTAATTGCACTTGGCGAATTGGCCAACTGATGTTTCAACTTTAACCGTACCGATCGTCTCGGCGCTACTACTGTGGCTGTACCCCCTGTGGTATCACATCCTGGCAAACCAGAAGTGCTTTGCGAACCTAACATCGAAGGAATTGCAGTCTTGGGAGGGACACACACCAAAACCTCCTCATCAGAAGAGGAGCTATCACTTTGGGGTTCTGGCTCAGACAAATCCAGACCATCTATATCAGGTAAGTAGTTACAAGGCTCAACCTCACCTAGTTCCTCCATTTCTCCCCTCGGGTCAAGAACCAATAGCCTCCTGTTCATCCATTTTTCCTTACCCCCAAGAGCAGGTCGTACAGCAAACAAATCCTCTTCGTCATTACACCTGGTAACAACATACGGTTCTTGGCCAAAGTGGTCACTCAGTTTGTGTCTGCCCTTAAAAGCCAGATTCTTGATCAAGACTCTACTTCCTACCACCAACGGCTGAGTGGGTTTACATTTAGCATCCAAATGCCTCTTATTCGAAGCGGCCGTCTTGATCAGACGATCTTTGACAATTTCATGGGCATGCTTCAGAAACTTTGCCTGCATCTGGACATACTCTTCTCCAAAGTCTTGCTTTGTATTTCCCACAAGGTGATCTAAGGGAGTTGTTGGTTGTCGACCAAACAAAAGTGTCCAAGGGGCCACTCCTGTCACACTGTGCGGTGTCGAGTTATACATGTATACTATGTGCGGGAGAAGTTCAGGCCACTTTTTACGTTCCGCAACATCCAAGGACCTTATAAGAGAGCAAAGGGTCTTGTTAAATCTCTCAGTTTGTCCGTTGCCTTGGGGATGGTATGGACTAGTTCTTGTCTTTTTGACCCCATACAACTTGCAGAGTTCACCGATTAACTTCCCTTCAAAATTACGTCCCTGATCCGAATGAACCTGAACGGGGATACCGTAATGTGAAATCCAATGATCCCGCAAAGCTTTGGCAACCACGGGTGCAGTTTGGTCCTTGCATGGGACCGCCAACGCATATTTTGTAAAGGCGTCGGTCATGACGAGGACATCCTCAAAACCTCCCCTACCCCTATCCAACTTGAGAAAATCGATCGCTAGGCGTTCCATAGGACGGAAGGCCAACAAATGCCGCATCGGTGTGCGGACAGTCGGGGTGGGTGGCT